ACCTGAAGCTCAGTATCCTTCCCAGCATAATGGTAGAAATTAGTTGCACAAAGTGAACACTTGCTTTTTACCATCTGGGCTATGTCATACGTTATTCTCTCAGGACATCTTTTGTGCAATGTAAATGGAGAGACCAAGAGGCCAAGGAGCAAATTGTACAAATTCTATTCCTGTGCCTACCCAGAAATCTCTCTTTTGGAAGGGACTTGATGTTCTGAAGTGTTACATGTGAACTGCTCTCATTTTCTCATCTGTTTAGGCCAGGAATGAAATGCTTCAAGGAAGCAGTGGTACAGAAATATTTGCCCTATACAGAAATATAAGTATTTCTGAATATGTAGCATTTAGGGGAACGCTTCAGACCTCTCTGCTCCTTTATATCTGTGGTAAGTCTTTTGTATGCTGCTTCCTTCCAGTTTTATGCACCACATGGTACCAAATTACTGTAGCAGAGATTGGGAAACCTCTGTTTAGCAGGTCTGGTTTATGGTTATGCTAAAAATAGAGGTGAAATGTGTAACTCATTTCAAGAGCAATTTCTTCACTGAGATCACAGGATCATTTGAAGCTGTCCAAACACTTAGGGTGAGTGTCCAGATAGTCTGGATTTTTTTTCAAGAATTTTGGAAGTGGGACAGCTTACTCACTGTAGATGATTCATATCTTTATGTTCTAGTTTGAAGTGTTTCACCACAGCATGATCACAACTCCAACGATGCCAGGTGATCATCAGACAGTACTTATACTTAGAGGATGATTTGATCTTTTCCAGCTTTCCAGAATTTTTATAACTTATTGGCATCTCCCCCACGCACAAACAATTTAGATTCAAGAAAAAGCAAAAGGAAACTCTTTACAAAGAAATTAATATATTGAGTTCCTCAATAGACAAAGCTCTTGAAGCCAAAGCTCTGAAGACTAAAGCATAGAGAACCTATCCTTCTCACGGTCTCTTAAAGCACTTTTCCATATTCTTTTGTAAAGGTTTTATCTTTTGCAGTTTTAAATCTTTTTGTCTAGACAGCAGTAAGTAACTGGCATACCTTTCGGTCAAGAATGGTGTGGTTAAATCTTTCAGATAAATATAGCTGGATATTTAAATACAAAAATAAATGTCTAAAGCTCTACTTATTAGTAGCATCTGTCTCGTGCTTGATGTGTACTTCTCAGAAATATTCTAATACCTACAGAGGCTATATTTAAGCAACCTTGCCTCTGCTTTGGTGATCACATGTCACGCCATGCCTATATTGTTGATTTTGTTGCTAAGCCCCACTGTGAGTTCTGGTTTCCAGTGTTTCAGGTTACATGTTTAAATCTGGCCTTCCAACTGTTTCACACTATCCTGCATGTCCTCGTCTACCGAAGCTGATACTCTGGAGGCCCTCTCTTTCCACACTGGTCCACACTGGCATGAAAAATTGAGTGGAAGGAGGAGTTAGGATTACAGATTTTTTGTTTATGATAGTTATTGACTTTCCACTTCGGAAATATCACTAAGAGGAAGCCTTAGGAATCATATATTGGAAGTATGTGGTCAGCAGATAGGCCTCTGCCGCCTTCCCCCATTTCTGGAGAATTTCATGGGCTTCCAAGGGAAAAAAAAAAGAAGGAAAAAAACCCTGAAAAGTGTGAACCTGAGAGAATCAAAGCTGAAAAACTGAAGAAGACTAGGCGGAAAAACTCTATAATTATTTTCTATAAGCTGTCTATTTGATGCTTTTCTTTAGGACAGATAAAGAAAAAATCGATCTTATTCACTCATCTTTGGAGGATTACATTTAGGTCCATTTGCGTTGTTGGAAGAGAGCTCTGTACACCTGTGAGGTTTCAAGTAACTTACAATATAAAGCGGTCAGTGACTTACGTGAGACTTGGGCTAACCCAGTTAAATTCTGTGCATGATGACACATCAGTCAGCATGCGGGGGCTTAATTTGTGCAAGTAGAAACCCCTTGTGTGCTGTGTTATGGAAATTACTGTTCTGTGCCAAGAAATTTTATGTTACTCCATCAGGCACAACTCCATTTCTCTGACTCTCTCTGAATGTTTTCTGCATGTGCTATGGGTAGTTAGTGTTTCATCAGTGAAATAACTCTAGGCTCTAAGTGTCTTGATGCATTGTACATTTTTTGGGCAACATGTAATTACTGCTTTGATTAGAGCAGCCACTGTTGTTTGTTTTTATATTTAGAGCAAAGAAACACAAACATCCTTACCATCAAGAAGGCTAGGCGGGGCAGTACTGAAGGTAGGTTGTTTTTAATCTCTGTACTGCCTGTATGCTTATGTTCACGTGTGCCTATTTTGCCCTCTGGTTCAGAAAAAGTTGCTGTTTTTTAGGATGGAATAGCTTTTGGGGATAAGGAGAGAAAGAATCCAAGCTGAACAAATCCATATGCTAAGGTTTATTTCACCTTAGAAAAGTGATTTTGATTTTCATAGTCCCACAGGTTCAGTGATCTACACACCAAATGGAGCCGGTTGGTTTTGATTTACAGATTCTACACTGTTTAGGAGATTATAGTCTAATTCTGCTGCTGCTGTGGCTAGTCAGGGCATGAACTGCAGTCATAATGATAGGCACTTTGTTCCTGGATTTTAGCATGCCAGGCAAGGAAGTCACTTCAAAGTAAAGCTGAAACACGTGAAAGATGGGATTGCGGGGGAGAGCTGTAGGAGGTGGAAATTAGATTGGTTTATTAAAGAGTATCACACTCTGATGAATCAATGAATTTAGGCAAAAAATTAAAAGGATGGGATAGGGTGAAAGTGATACAAATTGCTCTTGTTACTACAGTTGATATGAAAAAGCAAATATAAGAAAAAGGTAACTGGAAATTTGATGCGTTTTTATGGGGAAATATTTTATTGCCAGTGGTTACTTATTATTTGTATTAGTACTGCGTTCACTGTCTGATTTGAGGTGAGAGGACAGGGAGGAGTCCCCCTTCACTTCTCACTGTGCATGTGTCTAATAAAAGATTCTCTGTCTTCAGCGGATCACAGCTTCCACAGAAGTGGGATAAAGAGACTTCCCACTTACAGAGAGAATTGACAGCAGGAGCTTGACTACTAGACTTTGAAAATGCCATTGAAATTGCTTGATAAAATGTAGTTTATGAATGTGTAAAGCTGCTTGAGGCATTGTGGTTTCATTGAGATTTTTCTGTTTTTTTTTTTTTTCTTTTCTCTTTTTTCTTCCCCACCCACCTCCCCCTTTCTTCCTCAAGGCTGGCCTGAGATCTTAAGAGCCACTGTAGTTTAGACCTTTTTATTTTATTAAAATGTGTTTCTTTCTGATTTGATACCTTCAATCACGTCATGTACCATTGCAACACACATGAAGTACAAGAAGCAATCCCTTGGTTAGTACTCTGGTTATTTTTTTTTGAAACAAATAATTTATTTGCTACATTTTGCCTCTTTCCAGCCAAACACAGTCCTCTTCCTTTTGATATTTGAAATTATTTCCTCAATCATTTCTGGGACTAATTTTTGGGCTGCTGCTTGCTCAAGAGTAGTTTATTGTGTGGTCTACTGACAAAATTTGAGCCGATTAGGCTTGCTAGTTCTTGCTTCTATCTAAAATAGAGAAGTGTCATTGTGAAGTCTCTGTTTCTGACATAATATTTACAATTCTGAACCTAAGAGTTGTTTTCTGTGCATTTTCTTCAATAGTCAATTAAGGTTCTTTGTTCTGGTTTCAGTCAGTAAATTTGCTCATTAAAGCATTTTATGCAACTCAACTTTTGGTTGAGACATCTGTGGAAAAGAGACAGTGAAAAAGTGGTAACTAAAGGAAAGGTTAACAACTTAAACTAGATACTAAACTTTAAAAGATTTCAATTTGTGAACCATAAAAGCTGCCTTAAATGTAAAATAATTTAAATCTTGATTCGCTCATTCATCTTCCCCCTGCAAACAATTCAGGCTGGGGACTACACAGAGATTTTAATTTAGTTGTGTGTTTCTGCCCTGATGGATCAGCCCAAGGTTATTTTTTCTCACCTGGATATCTACATCCTATAATAGACTGAGCCCAAGTTTGTTTAAAAACTGGAATATTAATGCGTATTGAGAAAGCCAGATTTCTTAGAGGAAGTTTGATTTAATCTGGAAGCCCAAACACTTCTAAATTGATACATTTATGATGTGGCTGCACACGTGTGCATTCTTTGCCTGCTGATAGTGAGGCACAAGCCATGAAGAAAAGGTTGCTATGACGTTGGCATGGCAGAGCCCACTCTCTCCTCTCCTTCTCTCCTCTACCCTGCAGTTTTGGATTCAGGGGTCAGAGAGGTTCAGTGTGGATATTGAATTACAACATTGTTACTATTTTGAAAAGGAAAATGCTTGAATGAAACATTTCTTTCTCTCCTTTTTGAACAGTGGGTATCCCCAGAAGTGAAGTGTACAGATGCAACTGTGGTACCTTTGCCATTGTGAAAGGCTTTTTAATCTTTTACCTGTTATATGTAATACAATAACATTAATATACATTGAGCAGCCATTTGGGATTTTATATATCAGAATCTCTGAGAATTTTGAATTTTAATCCTTGTGAAATATTTGACATCCTGAATGGGATAATTGACACAGGGATGCTAATTAGGGGGTTGTAATTCAGAAGGTCGTGATCGTATACTTTATATTGGCGTGTATATTGTCTCCTTGTTGCCTAGACATGTGCCTCGAGAGAAGAGAGCAATACCCTTGGGAGTTCTGGAAATCAATCTCCTATGTCATACCATTTTTATAATGTTCTAGAAGTACTGGATTTGTACATTTTTCCATTTATTAAGCTAATTGTGCATAAAATATCCAGGCTTTGGAATAGTTCGACTCAGTTCATGTTTTCATTTTTAAAACCCTGCAACAAATAGTATCTTTCCCCAAAACTGCGCTTTTCACCTGAAGTGCTTTGCAGTTCTCAGTGTTCCTTAAAATCTTAAATTCGATTATTTTTAGCTGAACAGAGTCTTGTTTACCCTCTGCAGGGATTATTCTAGCAACTCCTGAAATGCAAAACCTTCTGTGGCAAGAGAGAAGAGGCAATCTTCTGACTACTGCTCTGACCTGACGGACATGCTCTCTCCAAGTATGGCTTCATTCAGGTAGTAAGACCAAGAACTGCATTAAAAAAACAGGAAGATTGGCCCTAGGCAGACAGGTGAGCTCATTTTTTTCTTTCTTTTTCTCCTGGCTTTGTGATCACACTACATGTGTAATCAGACTGTCTGCCTCCCTCCTTCAAACAGATTATTCCTTTAATGGCATTTCAATAAATGCGACAGCTCTTGGACTTGATTTCTTCATATTTATCTGGCTTTTCAAATTTCTGCATGATAATAAGGCTTAAGTTAGGAACTAAAGCATTTATTTGCTATATTGTAAATGAATACTGGGAATTTTTAGTTAATAGCGGTCAAGGTGCAGTCTTATGGAAGTACTGCTTCCACTGTGGAAGACAGTAAAGTGAAGAATGGGCTAAGATCCAATTAAAATTGCTGGAGTCTAACAAAATGTAATTACCAAATTTAAAACCACCCCGGGGGTATTGATCTAATTCCTGAAATACGCATAGAAGGATTCTTGATTTTTGTGTGGAATTGAACATTTCTTAGGTCTCCATGTGTGCAGCTTATCCAGGAGCTGGCTCTTTTTGCAGTACAGTGTGTCCTGTGATACTCATGTTTGAATATTGCTTTAGCAGTGATTCAGAGTTCCAGCTATTGTTTTACAAACACCAGTTCCTGCCGGGCTAGGGGTTTCCCCTGTCATCCCTTCCCAAATTATCAGCCAGACCCAGCCCTCTTCAGTTCATAAAATACAACAGAAGGCCCCATACGCTAGGGTGGCTACAATATACTAATTATGCAATTCCAGATTTGCAGCTACACTGCAGGATAAATAATGGTTATTCATCTTCATATCTGAACCCAAGTGAGGCATCAATGAGAGGAACATTTATTGCGACACAGATGGTGGCACTTTGTTAGAGGCTGTGCTTTGGTGCAAGTTCCTCCTTTCATAATCACTGTATCATGCAGTTCTGCAGAGCCCCTCCCCGAAAGAGTCACACTGTCATTTCTATATTTTACTTGAGAAAAAAAAATGCAGATGGACTTAAAATTGAAATGATGTACAAAAATCTGGGGAAGACTCTTTGCTGTTTAAACATAGATGGACGGTATAGGTGGACAGAGACAATGTGTCTTGAGAACAAGACATCAAGTGGATTGCTCTACTGCAGCTACAAATTCAGACAGTACAGAGGACTAGAAAGGGCTGAGGATGTCAGTGTTGGAAGCCCGAAGGCAAAAATGAGTAAAAAGTAAAAATGGATATGTGACATACAGTCTGTGCCAGTGTTTTAACATCTCATGGCCACCACAGTCACCTAATGGGGCTGGAACCTGCTATTGTCTGATCTGACACTAAGAAGCCTTTCTCCAAATTGAATTTTGTCTTATGGCAGCTCTCATCTGTGCAACATATATACCACTGTGATAGGACTGCTAACATTATACACTTACGATAAAGTTCATCTCATCAAGGCTGATGAGAATAACCATTGCATGTCTTCAGAAGCATTCTTGACTTAACAGCAATGCCACATCTCATATTGTTGCAACCTTCCTTGCACATGGGTATATCCAAAAGACTTTTTAAATATTTTTTTTTAGACCTTCATTTACATCTCTTATGAAAGACAGAAGTTATTCATTTACTCTGTGTACATGCATTTCTCTGAGTTAACATTTACACGTATTCCTGTTATCTCTATGTTTTTTTTCCTCATCCCCATGTAGTTATTTAATCATGTGCAAATATGGATTATAACTTCTTTTGAGAAGAAGGTACATGCCCTTTACCTGCCCTGAAAAGCACAGGGCACACTGAAGTGTCACAAAATAACAGTACTTATCTTAATATATCCATATAATTGCATCTGTTTCATATGCCCTTAACCTCACATCTAATCATCAGTATAAATTCGATTAATTTACTATTTTAGTTCTATCCTCAGACATGGGTTAAGAGGTAGAATATCCAGACTCTTAGTCTCTCTTGGTATTTTGCTTCATTTGTGATGCTTCAGCATAAGACATACAGATTTTCAATTCTGACAGTAAGTCTTTATCAGCTTTTTTTTTTTTTTTTTTTTTTTTTTTTTTTTTTGCTGCTTACTATGTATAGGCCCTTAATACAGCATAGAACAATGCTTTATTAAAACAAGCTGTTGAATTAAATGTGTGCTTACTCAGCTGGAAGCTAGTTGACCATTTCTGCTTCTGCTCTCAAGTTCCCAACTGCAGATGGAGTTGGGTTAATGTAACATAACTTTCCCAAGGGCCTACATTAGAATTTGACATGTTCTCTGCTACATATCCTCATCTTCCAAATTAACTTGAGGACAAATGGGAATTGTTTATTTGATACTTCTCTGAGACACAATGTTTTTGTTTCTCACAGAAGTCTCTGCCTTATATTTTGAATAAACCTGATTCCCTAAGAAGCTGATTAACACAGACAAAATAATGCTCTATGTGGAAAAAGGTTAAAGGCACCCTTCAGTATGCAACATAATGGGGAACAAATCTTTTTTCAATTTCAGTATTTCAGCAGAAAAAAAGAAGACTATGAGAGATAGTGTATATGCTTCATCTTTGATTCAGTATCATCCCAGCCTTCTCTGTGCATTTGGCATTCAGTTACGGATACAGAATCACAGAAAGCCTGAACAACAATAGCAGCAGTGTGGAAATCAACCCATGTACCCATGTTACTGAGTGGTTCCAGAAGATGTGGGAAAGTCTACTGATGGAAAAGTTGATTCATACACTTCTCCCTATCCCAAAGATACAAGAAAGTATCTCCTGTACCCAAGCATATTTGGAATCGGATCACTCAGTATTCCATGTCCTAATGAACAATATTCTTGAGAATATTTTTATCAGGAGAACAAAATGCAATATTCAAGACTAAAGCTCACAAAAATGCAAAGCTAATAACACTATGCAAGTCTTTAACAGAGGTGACTGACAATAGATATCCTTCCTCTCCTTTTTCCCTGCAGACAGACAAACACACAAACTAGCACAGGGCTAGTCAAGGGTAAGAAATCATTTTGTGCTGCATATACAAATGTGACTCAGTACTGTGTGTTAGAAATAATGAACTGGCTTGCTGAGGATTGAAATTCAACAGGGATCTTTAGTTGATTCTGTCAGAAGCTGTGCTGGTTCTTGGGCTTCATGTTCTTCATAGGTGAAGGGAGTAGGTGACAGTAGTAGTATCTTTCCCAACCCAAAATTGGGTTAAGGCAAAATAATTTAAGATAATTAAAAAGCAGAAACAGTAGAAAATGACTGCAGGTAGCATTGCATCCATGGAAATACTAGAACAAGTTTTCTCTTCCCTGCACTTGAACATTGATCAATAAGCTGCTTTGATTAATCAATGATGGTGATGTTGATGAGGTGATGGTCACTTTTTTGACTTCCCTTCTTTAATCAGAAAAACTAAAAGCACTATTGAAAGTGGTGAAAGGTGTCAGTAACAGCAACATCAAGGGTGACAGAAACCAGCACCACTGTACAATTTTAGTAATGTGGGGAGCAGATGTAACTTGCAACTTCCTAGAAAAGATATTAGGCATAGTAGCAATAATAATAATAAACCAGTGGAACCCTTACTATTCACTCGGATAAAAACACAGATATGGGTGCCGTGGTTTGGTCTGGATTACAGAAGGAAGTTGAAGAATGTGCCTTCAACTCCAGGATCTAACAGGCTGTGAAGGAACAAGATGTGAAAGATATGCACAAACAACACATGTGACAAATTCCTCTGAGAATGTTATTACTCTCTCTTTTCCATTCCATTTGGAATGAAAAGAGAATCAAACAGACTATTCCGTTGCGTTCACATTTGCTAACTGTTTACACTTTCTGGTTAATTGCTTTCTATAGTTTAATGGAAAGAAAACCTCAAATACCTTATCTTAAAAGCTTACATTTGCCATACAAAAGAACTCACAAAGTTCATGCTCAATTGTCCCTTTCAGTGCAAATAAGATCTTTCAGAGATTTGAAGAAAGAAGAGCAAACACCTAAACAGACTCAAAAATGCTACTCATGCTGAGACAGCGTCAGAAAGGAAATGAAGGTTTAACAGTTCAAATACAGAATATTTCTTCTCTTTCTGGGGCAAGACAGACTTGCTCAGAAAACATGGCAATTTGCCAGAGCTGGGAGCCTCCAGGAACTGAAACAGAACAGTACTGGTGACCCTTCACTGCCTTAGACCAGCTGTTGCAGAAAAGGCGAGCACTGGTGTGTGCACTGCTACGTGAAAGGGAAGAAACCAGAGTACATGGAAATTGTCACATCAGCATTAGTCTGGGAATGTGTATCTTTGTTGGTGGGAACGTAATGTTTGCAGGGTTTTTTTCATAATATTTTTTTTACGAGGTACATCTGCAATGATACATTTTTGTTCTAAAATGCTGCCTATATTTGCACAGTTGGGGGAGTTGGCTTCACCCTATGTACTCTAACTAATGGAGAATGTATACTGAGGAAGAATCACAAATAGCAGCTGCAAAATTCTGGAGATCTAAACAGTGTTCAGCCTGACAAGGTGATTTCTCGTTCCCAACTAGATCAGCTCCGGGAACATCTATGCTATAGCACACAGAGACATGAGGTGAGTAGTAAGGACCAAGTGCAGTGATTCAGCTGGCCTTTGGATGTCTGCTCTCTGTACTGGTTGAGATGGAGAGAATGCATTTGGGCTTCCCCTGCCTATATTACGCACAGTCAGTGGGCTGTAGGAAGCCTATCAAGTGATGTTGGCTTGTTGGACAGACCAAAGTTTGGCCTGCCACTTCCCTTGACACGAATGTATTTTTGCCTCTGTATTGATGGGCTGGACAGAAAAAAAAATGAATCAGATGTAGCTAAAAGGAAGTTCATGTCATGCACATTGTGAAGAGGTTCACAGGGCATGTGAGGCTGGGGATATTTTAGTCAGATAAGAAAAGGAAGAGACAAATATTCAGTGGAGCAAATGTGTTTAAGTTGTGCAGTGCTGATACACAGTGGAAGGCTCCATGGTACCCTTTCAAAACTCACTTTAGTTCCCAGTATGAAAAGAAAGCAGTATTTGAGTACAGAAGAGGCACTCAGCAAGCCTAGAAGGAGCAGCTGTTGAGTCAGATATGGAGAGGGAAAACCAGAAACACTGAAAGCTGAGCTCAAGCAGATGAGAGCCGAACAAAGAAACTGCAGAAGAGAATGCAAAAAGATGCAGCCCCACGGGCTGTCTTAACCTGTTTTCTCCTAATCCAGAGTGGCCTAAGGTTGGTTCTACAGTGGAGTGGGAAGTTTTCCTAAAATTTTGTTAGCCTTGTATGAGTATCTGATTCCAATGGTAACTGTCTTCATTTTTAAGTATTAAGTATTCCTTAAGTATTCTTATTTATACCACTGAGGGATTCTGTTTTCAACACACTTTTATAACTAGAAAGTAATAAATATCCAGTCTACTATATAGTTATATTGTAGAGGAGGAAGAGACAGATGTACTACAAATAATTTTTAAGCATTCCTATCCATGTTGTCTGGATGAAAATGACAGAATGTGGCCTTTCCTGAAACTCTTCTCATCTATACGGACGTAATGCTGCTAACTTGAACACTTTTCCTCCTGTTTTGAAATACATCACATGGGAGGATACTCCCAGTGTTCTTGTCCAAATTGATAGAGCTCTATCCTACCCTGGCAGTCACAAGAGCTCGCTGTATTCTTCTCAGATATGTATTTGCAATTAGTCATCCATACAAGGGGACTGTTTAGGACAAGCCTTCCCCCCAAAGCAGTTAATTCTTCAAAATGAAAATAATCAGATAATGAGTTCATTTCCGATTTCACATTTAATGCCAAACATTTTCGGGTAAACAAGATATGCTGGCAGAGCTCTCTCCTCATTGTATGTTTTTTATTAACTGGGAAACAGACAGTTGATTCTTATCCTCTCTATCAGCTCAAATAAATTACACATATTTTAGAATAGGAGGCTTGTGCAAACTGGCTGGCTGGTTTCAGTGTGGGAGCCCAGCAGCCATGCTGTGCACACTGCACTGAGGTCAGCTGCAGCAGGCCCTGCTAGAGAGAACAGAGAGCCTCCGAAAGCCCAGCTTAGGAATCTCTCACTTTTTGATGGAAACTTTTACCACAGTAACTCATATTTTTGCAGCATGAAAATAAGTAGGGCAGCAGACAGCCTGTCTTTGAAAACATTATCATATAAGACAAGTCCAATACCTGAGCTGCTGCATCACTTCTGCTGACAGCCCCGTGGCAGTGAGAGGATGCACCTGAGTAGCATGTGTGTTTCTTCATGGCTCTGTGCTATTCTTAAGCTGACGTGGTCTTCAGCTGCTAGTGATGCACAGGGTAACAGATACTGCTAAGTTTTTGGAGCAAGTTGTTTTAAAAAGTTTGTGTAGAGAGGCAAGAATATAACAGAACGTGGGATGAATAAGTGTTAAATACAGTTTTTCCTCCCATGAGCTCCACTTTGACTTGCTGTAGTTTTGCAGACCTGCCAAGGAGAACAGAATTTGGGCCCCTGACGATTTTATAATTAATACCTCTTCTCAGGAAGGAGAAACTGAGAAGAGAGAAATTGGGAAGATTTATTTGGAAATGGTATTTATGTCATGTCATACTTTATATTAAAAGCATTAAAAGAAGTTTAATAAAGATATCCCAAATTTCAGTTAAGAAGCTGAAGCTTTCAAAATTATTCTTGATTTTGAACACTGTAGATTAAAATTCAGACTGTTGTCTCATCTCTCTTGTACAGACAACATTCCTCCTATCTGAGAGTAACAAAAGCTAAAATGTCACTTCATAAACAAGGGAAATCTGTCTTCCCTGTTGATGCTTTATATCGGGGAAACACTGAGGCTTACAGTGCTACCCCTGTCCAAAATGAGAACATAGAAACAATCTCTGAGGGAAAGAGCTCGCAGTCTAAACATAAAACTAAGAGTGAGAAGATGGAGACAGAAAAGAAGGGAGTACAAATGGCAGCGATATCCATCAACACAGCCTCAGTTCAGCACTAATCACGCTGCCATTGATGTCTTAAATGGTTATTGCAGGAAGGAGGATTTCAAGGTAGGATTTGAAAGGAAGTAATTTGGTTGTTTTTATTGGGCTTTATATAAAAAATTAGTGAGAAACATTGTCAGAAGAGTGTTTCTTAACCCACGTTGTTTTCAGGAAGTCATTATTTCACCTCAAAAGTCTCAGATACAGATGTTGAATAAAAAGGATAAGAAGAAATAATTAAGTTAATTTTTTTGATGTACAAAACCATATCCGTGACAGTGGAGGCTGTAACAGAGGTACATGAGTGCAGCTAGAAAAAGACTTTGACTCTGCAAGCTCTGTACAAATCCTGGCTCTGGCAGTTCCACTGCTCAGCTTCTTGGGATCTGCTGAACAGAAGTTGCCTGGATTTTTGCAGGGGTATAGAGGACAAGGAGTCTGATGTCCACAAAATGAAGCCAACGAATGCTGTGATTTCTGGGAAAAACAGTATTTGCAGCATGGGCTCTAGACAGAAGGAACTGGGGCATTAGTAACATGTGACTGGAGACAGTCTCAGCAATGCAGTGCTTGCTGTCAAAAGGATAAAGGAATGTCTTGAGAGAAATGCTCCCTTCCAACCCTCTACTTAGAGGGGGAAAAAGTGCAAATATTTTTCTTTCTGCTGTCATTCTGATGATGAAGCCACCATTTGGATTTTCCTAACCCGATGTTTAACTTTCAGATGACAGAAATACAACAGCACACAAGAGCCCAGTCTCAGTTCTCACATGTATGCTAGTTAACACTTTGATGGCTGAGTTACGTTCTAAGCAAATCTAAGCTGCTTAAATAGAAAGTATTCGGCAAATTATAGCTTCCCCACGCCCCTAAAAAGGAAAAAGACTGAATATATTATTTAAGCTTTTTCTTTTTTAAAGACTTTCTTAGATTGTTTTCTTTTCTTTCTCAGTAAAAGCCTGATTTGGAAAGCTATTGTCTGGAGATTGTATTTGCATAACAGCAAATAGAGTCAACCTACATTGTGCAGTGTTGAGGGAAAAATAACCTTCGGAGAAAAGGAAGGCAATTTGCCCTGCAATGAGTCATCAGCTCTGCTGTGCCGAAGGAAGAAGACATTTTTGAGGAAAGGCTGCTGGCATATATCTACTGTAGAGGAGAAGAAACATATAGTGTGAGAATGGTCATACCAGGAGAACTGTCAAAGAATTGGATATATGCTCTACTTTTCTGTTCCTAAGAAGCTGATCCCTGGTAGGTTAATAGGGGTAGTTGTCTATTGCAATGCTTTAGGGTTATTTCAGCCATTTCAAGCCATATGCCTAGTGTCTAGGTTTCCACAAGTTTGAATTCAGTTAAATATCAACCAATTTTTCATACAGGCAATGACGAATCCTCTGAAATTTCTGGTTCACACTTGTTTGGGATTTATTTATTTATTTATTTATTGGTATTCTATTTGTCTCACATTTTCACATTTACAGCAGCTTTTATACCATGCTTTTTAGGGAAAAAACAGTGGTGAAGATATTCAGAAAACCATCATGATTCTCTGCAAGATCCTTTGAGGAACTCCACTACAAGAAAACAAAAATGGTGTGCTCTTGAGAGGTGATATTTTTTCTAATGGATCTTGATGCTTCATTATCTGCTATGCCAGCCCATGTCAGTTATGAGAGTAGATTTGGTATGAGCACCCCATTTCATCAGTTAGGAAGTAACCATGTGTTATAACCTGTTGTTGACTTATGCACCCTGCTTCCTCTGGAAAATATGAAATGAAGCTGCTGTTCCTGATATTTCTCAAGTATGGAATTTCCCTTAGGAATACTGAATTTAGACCGGTCTCCTGACCACTCTGAGGTTTGTCAGAGAGCAAACATCTCCCTTGCCCAGGCAACATGGCTCCCGCCTCCTGGAGAAATAGCTCACGAGGAACACTACAGCCTCCAACTAAAACGTAACTCTAGTTTGTCCTTCACGTGTGAAGCCAATAATGATTCTCCACCACAGTTTTTGAAGATATTTCCAAGTATGGCAGGGTGCAGTGGCAGGCACATAATAGGATTTTTGGCATGTATTAGACTGTGCTCAACAACTCTGCTCTCTGATCCAAACATGCCCACCAAAAATAACTTCAGTGAACAGCTTTTATTTTAATTATTCCAGCGTGGCACTCATTAAGTTTTGCCAACAGTCTGGTTTGTAAAGCTTTTTGTGTCTAAGCACAGAAACCCATAGTGTGCAGTTAACTCCCCACTGGGATTTTCCTGATCCAGACATAGGTCTGTTCTGCAACCTCATCTTTCTTTACCTATCTCTTACTTTTAATGCTGTTTACCCCATTGACTCATTGAAATCTCACCCTTTCTTTGCTTTTGTGACTGTTCTTTCCCAACTTTCTCTTTTAATTTTCTGTTTTCTCATTCAGCTCCACTTTTAGTGGCTGTTGGTGGATAGTTGGTGGTTCCCTCGTAGTTCTGATCTCTGCAGGGCTCTTGGTGAGCTCTGTGTGTGGTTCTCCTCTTCCCCTTCTATGCTCTCTGCCCAGCCTACTGAGAGTATAATAACAGAACAACTATATTTTTGCTAATGACTTGCAAATCTGCCTTTTCCAACCTGATCTATTTCCTTTTGTCACTGAGTCTTTCTGAGTTCTTCCCTATTGGTCTCCCTCTTCCTGCCTCCTTCACTTCTCATCCATGTCATAAACCTTAAAAAAAGCATAAGAAAAAAACGTCCCTATGGTTTTGTGGTATAAACTTCTCTGTTCTGCAGAACCCTTACATGGCCCTGAGTTGACTGTGATCATTCTTCTGTCTTCAACTATTTGTTTAACCCTTTCTTTATCCAACTCTAATTTGTTTTGCAAGTAAGCATGTACAATTTGGGACATGGCAATGGTGCAGTATTTAAGTGGTTTCTATTACCTTGTAAATAACCTCAGATAGGCAATAAATTGTCCCTTTCAAAAAGAATAGATGTGAAAGGGAAAAAAATATGGAGTCACTAGGATATTTGGTTTAGATTAGGTTTATTTCCTTCGGTTCGTTTCCTAAACATGCCAAAAGAAACAGCCTTAGAAGGAAAAAGTGGAAACTTCCCAGATCAGGATAACCTATAGCCTGGCAGTTCTTAGCACAGATGTGGGTTATACAGATTCCTTCACACCTAGAAGGAATGGAGCCCAGAGCTCCTGCAGTGGGAGGGAGCACCCCAGCTGTAGTCCTATTGCACAAAGCCGCCAGCAGCAGCAGCAACTTCTTTCTCTGTTTTTGTGGAGGAGGGTGGAGATCCTTGACTAGGCAACAAAATTCCATAGAGGCTTAAGATAATTCCAATTTCCTCAGCATTTCCTAATGGTTAATTTGTGTAGCTGCTGTCTGGGGATGTTTGCATTCTTCAGTGCCCAAGCTCTGGATCCCACCAGCCAGGCACACACCTAGGAGTCAGGAGCAGCAATTTTTTTGGCACTGTGGGACCAAAATCCTGCTTGTGTCCAGACCAGAATATTTATCTGTAAATGCTTAGCACTGCCATGCCTTGTTCTTTCTTGCCTTGATAAGTACTACTAATATTAAGAATGTAGATGACATGATATTTGTCTTTTAGCATTTGCATAACTTTTTACATGCTGTCTGTTACAACATCTATAACACAGTACTTAAATGCATGGAGCAAAACCAGAGGAATACCTTTGGAACAGCTAAATTCACACACTAGTGCCACTGAACTAGATTATCTATGAAGATTCCTTCCAGCTGAACAATTCTGTTGTGTTCTGTTATCACATTGATTCTAATAAAAAAAAAATCCTACAAGTTTCAAAGTGTCAGGGTATTCTCCTGCCATTCTTCCTGTCCGTCCCTAACAAGATGTAATGTTTTGTGAGAATCTCTTCTTATTCAAGATATTTTCAAACTACTGGATATTCGTGTGCTCCTCTGTATTTGACTCAGCCTGAAATGCAATATCCAACTTTGGTCTGTACCCTGGTTCTGCTACCTTCCTTTCTGTGAATATGGGGAGTATGCAGTGAGAGACTGTCAAAGGCCTGGAGGTCCTTCAGTCTCAAATTGCATTTGAAATTCCACTTTAGCATTTCCAAGGCCCACAGATATTCTTGGCAATTTCCAGTAGTCCTTATCCAAAAGCATTTAGAATATAATTCAGATATACAATAATAAAAGTAAAAACAGGGAGAACAAAGGAGTAGAATAACACTGGATATAGTTAGAAGATCAGTGACAATTAGGCGTAAAGGCTTGGACGGAAGGACACTAAATTATTTTTCTTGATTCAACGTGACAGCGTAAGAAGTGTTTCTAGAAGTCAGGATTGAATTAGAGGAGGGTTTTACATGAAGTCTGAATGCTTTTTAGAGAAAGAATTACAAACACTAGACTTTGTTATCTAGCATGAATGTTGGGGAAAAATGGTTTGCTGATCTTGTTTTCATCAGTTTGTTTTCTCCCACGGTAGGGTTGCATTTTCCCATCTGTGATTAAAAATACATATAACGAAGAAACTGTAGCTTTACTATAAGTGCAAAGAAAACAGAACCAGAAGTTGTGCTTTATAGGAAGCAGAGAGATGCTGCAATGTTTAAGTAAGTACTAGCCAGCAGCTTTTTTTTTTTTTTTTTTTTTTAAATGAGATTGTCTGAATTAATGGAAAAGCTATTACTTTAAAAATTTTCAACTTTTAAAAAACAACAACCTCAGATCTTGTCAGTTTGGTGCCTACTCTCTGGAAAGTCACCAAATCTCACTTGTTTTGCTTGGGCCTCACTCAAACATAACTGGCCTCAAGCTAGTAAGCAAGCCAGCAAATGTCCTGGCTTGTAAAGAAATCTGATCCAACTCTGTAAACTGAACCCAGCCTAGGAGCGGCGGTGAGGGGAACATATGGAAAATTAATGACAGATAATAGAATGGTGGGACAGCCTTAAATGAAAAAAAGATTGTTATTAAGTTTATGCAACAATTCCAGCTAATGGTCTTTTGGCTGGAGGGTCTTTTAAGCGGAGAAAGTTACAGAATAGCTAAAAACTCCTTTTCACTTTGCCAGCAACAAAGCTCCAGAAATGGCTGCTGCTGCACTGCCCTTACCACTTCTGCCTGTTCTTAATTGATACCTGTAGAATTACTATATAAGCTGGTTCAGCTGCAGCAGCACTTTGGGAAGTGCAGCAGTTCTGGTCCCACCTGTTTAAATAAATGGGAGCCTCAGGAAAAGGAGTGGATTGGAATTTGCTTGGGCTCAAACAGTGAATGACAGCAAAAGCTAGGCTGAGAACTGCAAGCTTAGCCAAGCATTAGCATGAGGTGGTAAGGGTGGAATGGGTGTTTTCTTTTTTTTCTCTCCATAGACCTCCAGGCATTTTACAAAGATAAGCTACTCGTGGTATGGTGTCATGAATAGGGAAACTGTCCCAGGGAACTCATGGTCACACAGCCCCGCTCTGGTGAGGGGAATGAGTTTCACAATAAAAAGGAAAGTAGAAGAGCTCACTTTGAGAAAAGAGTGCATATTTCTGGAATACTTGTATCCTATGTTTATTTGGCTGGTGGCCTGGGGTTCTCATTTAGTGTAGACATGAAACTATGGTGCCACACAGTAGTCATTTTTTTTTTCCTAATAAGTGATTTTTATTTTCTTTTCTTTGTCCAGGACTTGAATTACTGCAGACCAGCTAAGATACCAATCTTCCTGATTAAAGACTAAAATGCCTTTCTTTCTTGCCATTCTCACAATGGAGAATCATGAAGCTGCCTTTACTTGCTGAGTAACTCAGGTGTGTCTCCATTCCTTGTCCCCATGTCCAGTTGATGATTTAGCTGATCCCTGACCTTGAAGGTTTTATGTATATCTGAGGAAAAACAGCAAGAGCTATGCTATGGTAAAATGACAGGTGGTGGTCTCCATCTCTTTGTTGCTACATGACAGTCTATGGCTGTTAGATTACTGCCTTTGCTTTTTGGTGCGTAATTTAGCAGGAGGAGCAGAATTTATGCCCCTTCAGCTGTACCTCACTACAGGAGAAAAATTGTTATCCAGTCTTAAGTTTGTTTCTCTTCCCTTCTTAAGGTGTTTTTCTTTTATAATCTGAAGTGAGGACTGCATGCTGTGATCCTTGCAAAACCATTCCCCTTTCTTAGGAATATACCATAACATTAGCTCAGTGTTTATAGTATTTCCCATTCCTTGCTCACACTTGCAGTATGGAGTACAACACACCCTATTATCTAGTAAAAAGTAAAGTGTCAGCTGAAATGGAGTGGCAGCAGAAAGTGTTTTATACATGGCTGTGATAGAGGAGTAGATCCTCACCCAGCTCAACAACATCATTACCAAATGCATTTCTGGCATCATTTGCCCTGCTGCACACCAGCAAATGATGAGCTTGATGTTGATTTTCCCACTCAGAGACCTTTTAGGGCTGAAAGTGGAATAACTCACCTGGCTGTTAAGACTTAAAAATAAATAAAAATTTTGTTGTACCATTTACCATAACTTTCTTTTTCTTTCTTAACCTATTATTTCTGTGCCAAGAGAATGCCAACATTTAGTCCAAGAAGACTAAATCCACAGTGATCCTCCCTAGAAGAGCCTTGGGAAGGCCCTGGAGAGAGCCAGGATCCTGCAGAATGTGTAAGGAGAGGTCTCTGACGTCTTCACTTTGCCTGACTGCTCTACTGACAGAACGCACGTTTTTCAAGCGAAAGGTTTTTGCTTTGTTTTTCCTCTCTGCAACATTACTGCAACTTAAAGATGCAATTTGGGGTCAAGATCCCACCAGAAAAAGTGTATTTTGTGACATATTATATAGACAATTTGATTAGATTGTCACAAGGTTTCACATTATCCTTAAAAATTAATATTTATAAAACAAAATAGTTGCATAAAAAAAAAAAAAACATAAACATATAAATATACCTTTATTTAATATTACCTACATACAGAGTGGCTGCACTAATACCAATAGTAAAGCAGAAGTGTTTAAGAGGAAGGAGGAGTGACTTAGCAGGCAGATTTTCTTCCTGAGAAGTAACTTTTAAACTTCTTCACATCGCTCAGCAATTGGGAATCAGTGTCAACGGGGAAAGAAATAAGAAATGTTTAGAAATCCTCATGTTTCCAAAAAGAAATGTTGCCATTTCTGTTTTGATAAATCTGTTTAAATCCTTTCAGATTCCTGTGGAGGAGTAAAACAGCCTGAAGGTACCACTTATGATGTAAAAGAGTGTTCTCCGTGACCTTAGCGAACCTATGAACTGACCAAGAAAGGTGATGGCTCCTGAGGGCACAGTGCATGTTTTGCTTTTCTAATGTCCAGAAGATTCAATACATCTGAAATATAAGGAAAAAATTTCCTGCAGGGCAGTAGAGATATCCTACTGACAAGAGGGAGCTGTATTCTTTTCTCATCACCTCATAAACAGTGGGGTTCTGACTAAGGATGTTAGGTAATGCGTGCCATATACAGAACTCAAAGGGGGTATTACTTTCATTGTATAACCCTTTAAGATCTGAAGCAGTATTGTTTAACAAAGCATACTGTTTTTCTCTCTTGCTTTTACTGAGCTTTGATGCTGATTTTAGAACTTGACAGCTGTGTTTAGACTTGTCTTACATCTCCCATACAGAGGGGTGGGGGAAATATGGATGTTTAGGGCAGCAGGCAAAATAAATTGCATAAAAAGGCAGGATTTGCCATGAGGAATTGTGGGATATTCCACAAAGCTACACGTCTAGCCCACCTCCCTTGGGGAGGAGTTCTCACTAGATGCTACTCCCTTATGCGCTAGTTGGGAGAGCCTTTTGTCTCAGAAGGAGGCTTGTTGATAGTTAATACCACCATAGAAAATACCATAGAAAGGTATGAAGTCTGGTTAGGCGCCATTCTTCATAAGGATATTTGTTTGGGATTGTGATCCACAAGACCTTAAGAGATCCTTAGAGCGATTTGACTTTCCTTGTAGCATTCCTCTTTGTGACAGTACTTATGTATGAGTATGCTGTGTTACAAAATAATTACAGTGGAAAAAATATCCATTATTAATGGATTCCAGAATTGAGAAAGTCAGAATATAGACTGCAGTAGCTGTAGAATGAAATGAAAATATGTCTTTTTTCATTACTTCCAAATCCATAACATCAAACAGAATTTAACTTGTAAATAATATTAACCTGATAAACTGCTAAAGTTAATCTTTTATAGCTTTTGAGAGATGTGAAGAGTTCACGTTTGTTCAATAACTGAGTTTTTCAGATGGCCTATCTTTGATTTATTTGAATACATTATGAACATTCAATATCTGGAAACGGATGAAAACTGTGAAGTAGCCCCATTTCTGTAGATATCCAAAGAGAATCTGTTGAAATAATTCACTGGAACTGTACAGAAAATGTGTTGGAGCCAAAAAAGGAAAAGACAGAAAATCAGGGGACGTTCAAAACTCTAATGAAATAGAAGTCAGACGGAATCCTGTTCAATGTCAAAATAACTTTTTTTTCTCTTTATTATTCTCTATAATGACAGAAGACTGGATAGTATTCATTCTTCTCAGCTACCACAAAACAGCATGCCACTGAGGTCTCTTAGTGAATTGTATGGCACGATATTGATTTTGTTGTTGTTGTTTTGGGTTTTTTGTGTTAGAGAGGATGACATTTCACCGATGTTTGATTAAGTCATAGGTCACTTAGGGAAGAGTCCTGAGTTTCAGCAAGATTATATCTAAAGAAAGATGCAAAAGCCCAGATCACTTCAGATATTCTTCATGTGCTATATATAGATGTTCTTGCTTCAAAGCCTGAGTGAATTTGTTGGACACAAAGCCTTTATAGCAATTTCTTTGTATGAATGCTACCTCCCCAGACCATAAGCATGTCTATTCTGTAAATACACTTCCCCCACTCTGGTGTGGAATGTCTTTACCTTCATTTCTTCAGAATTCATTTGTGTTTAACAGCTGAACGATAGGGCATGATGGCCAATCCTTGCCAGCTATTGCTCATATTTTGAACACATCTTTAACTGGGTATCAGAAACAAGGGTAACTTAATATTTGCCACCATTAACCATTTCACAATTGATCAGTTTACCAGAAATGTCAAATCAATATACTTTTAAGCCAATAGAGTGCTGTCTGTGTATGGTTGCTATCACTTCTGTCCTCTATAAGTGGAAATCAGCATTTTATAGATTTTACTTAAGCACTGAACATGGAATCTGTAATTATTCCCATAGAACAAAATATACAAAAGAATTCTCACTACTTATCTAAGATGTTACGCAAATATCCTCTTTGCTTAACCCTCAAATTTAGGCCAACTTAGAGATGGACAATCTGAAAAGTTCTCTAAGTATTTTGCAATAGCTTAGATCCAGACCCCAAATTCATTGCTTACAGTGGTCTTCAGTTCCAAACCACCGTGTCTGGTAGAAATGTCTGGAATGTGGAGTACTGTATTTAAAAACAAAGGAAAAGAATCCTTAATAGCTGCTCCATCACTTAGCTGAACAAAATCCTGTACCCACACTATCCTGGAAGAAGGGAATGGTAATGATGGCAGAAATGATGGAAAAAAAATGATTGAAATAAAACTGTGTACACAGTGACTAGAATTAATCATTTTGAGGCTTGGAACTAAGGTGAAATAAATAATTAAATAAGTAAAATAAAAACCCCTGCTTTTATCCCATAAAACTCTTAAAAAGCTAGTAACAAAATTCAGAGGGCCCGGTGTTCAATTCCAAAGAAAATTCTATGAAGGACCAGGAAGCCATTTCTGCTTGGTTACCCTTAAGCTAAGGATCAAAGTAGAAAGGTATCTCATTTCCATATGTAACTTCAAAATATTTTTAGGAAGAAAGTCAGAAGATGGATCTTAAGACTAGTTATTCTTAGGCTAACTTGTATTAGAGGAATGATTAAGGAAAATACAATGTCTCTTTTCTGGGAGATGGGCCTGTACTCTATTGTACAGCAAACTTCTTCATCTGTCTCTTGTAATTTTTGGTCTGTAAAAAACAAGAAAGAGTGGGACAGGTTTTTTATTGCCTCCTCTCATAAGCTTTCCATATGCTTCTACGACCATGTTTTGTTTTCAATTTTAGTGAAGGTTTTTATTTGGAGACTCATAAAATTCTAATTTATTACAGCTTCTTTTTATAAAATGGAGAGGATAGGAGGGAAATATTGAGAAAGCATGTGCAAGCAACCTCGAGGAACGAATTTGTGAATTTAAAGCATCATTCAGCTTATCAGCCTCTGCTTCAGTTACTGGTAAATACCTTTCCTCATTCTTTAACCTATGATTATGTATTCTCACCATATATATAGAAAGTGTGACTTTTCAGGCAATATACATTCTTTTTTGAGGGGTATGGAATTCAAGTGCTGGACCTCTAAAAATCTTAAATAAGTCATTCTGATGTATAATAGGTGTACTGAGAAATGGTGAAGAGAAACTGCCTCCTGAGAAATATCACTAAAAATCACATAATCTTGTTAAAAGTTTACAATCTTGTGGGGATACATTACTAGCTGTCCAAGGCCTAATGCAGCCTCCAGACAATGGGTTGGACATGGCTAGGCGAGATGGGTTGACCCTGGTGGGGAACAGAGCACTGAATGCTCTTGAATGTATACAGGTTTATGCTTCATTTGGTCTGCATTCTCACATTTGTGATTTGTTTATATAGCAAAACTAGTCAACAGACGTATCCAGGTTCACCTGCAGTACCTGATTCTGCTCTGTTTTGAGGGTTGGGTCATCAACCAGCCTGGCCAGAGATCTTGTTCGGGAGCGGGACTTCTACAGAAGAAAACAAAGCATATTTCCTATTTACTATCTGCCTAGTTATTTTTCTGTGCTGTTCTCCAGTATTAAATTGATTAGAATCAATCAAAGCCTTATACTTGAAATAGTGTAGAAACCAGGCTCTAATGCATTACTGTGGGATGAAACTTTAGGTAGTCACTGACTTCAGTAGCATGAGTTTATCTCTTTCAGCAAGGAACTGTGTTACATTTACATGATCACACCACGCACTGAATGGGATATCACACCAGCACAGCCTATCTAGAAAGTGCAATCAGGGAGGTAGTTTAAAATTTTGTGAAAACTATGCAAAAGTATATTTGATATGTTCTATGTTTGATAGACATGTAAGCACGTATGCATGCACACACTCGTTATTTGAATATCTTTTTATTTCTGAAACACTTCCTACTCTGATCCTGGAGCTGAAATTATATATGTTAAGATATGGCAGTAATACAGCACTACTGTTGTTTTAAAGTATGGAGGGAAGGCCCTCCTGGGAAAAGTTCATTGGGGTGGGTCAACCCAAGCATTGAAGGAGAAACTCAAGTCCCACAGAATGTTGGAAATCTGCTTTTGCAGGGGCTATAAGGAAATATGAGAGCTCCGCTGGAGAGAAACTGTTGGGTAATGGATTTTTTTTTCCCTCTAAATAAAACATAGAGCGGGCTTTTAACTGCCTTTTCCTCATCATAGATATTGAACCCTGTTCACTAATGCTAAGGGGAAAAAAAATGAAGATTCCATGTAAAATTCCTACCAAGAGTAAATACAGAAATTGAAATGAAGTGTGCAGCGCACACCCTTTTCTTTCCTTCCTATTTTGTTTTGTATTTTCTAGCTCTGCTTTTCAGACAGCTGAATGGGGGCTGGGAAAGTGTTTACAATATTTTCACATGATTGAGATGGCAGAGTTCTTGCAGTTCGTGAAAGGCCTTCTGTTTTCAGATGGCATTGAAAGTTTACCGTCTTTCCAGACAAAAGGAAGAGAGCCCGTTGCCAGCGGATGAGTAATGGGCATGGCCTCCAGACAATACCTCCTATCCAGCCCTAAATCTACATGGTGTTCTTAGGCTTCCCAGCTTCTCCAAAGCAACCTTTGTTTCTGCTCTGGGAGACCAAAACTGCTCGTTGGGCGAGTGGGGAAGCAGCCAAGAAGGGAAGGCTCAGTGACAACAGTTGCTCAGTGCTCACTGCCCAGTATCTGCCTTCTTGCTATGCTACTATAATAGTTGGAAACCCATCAACACTCGGGCATCTCCTATACAAATATGTTGCAGACCATCTGTATAGTTCCAGTTCCAGAAAATTCCAGTAACTCACTAAGTTTTAATACTATTTTTTTTCCCCTCATTAATCTGATGGGCTGCCCTGAGATAAGTGATTAAAGCAAAACCGTGCCATAATTACCTCAGAGCTAAAGCTGCACAGAATTTGTCAATTCCTGTATGTGTTTTCTTACAAGGAACTTGAAATAGGCGTTTTCCACCGTTAATTTTTAGGTTCTGTTGATACTTTTCTTGTCAGAAAAACATTTTGGTGAAAATTATTTTGAATGTCAAATTTTGAATATCAAAAACTCAACCAGACAATTCTAAAGTTTGTCCATAGTCTCTGTGCACTTGTTGATGTTACAGGGACCAGTAGATGATTGTTTAATTGTTTCTATAAAAGTTTCCTAGAGCTAGTCTGAATTGATGTATATATGTAATTACATACACGTGTCCTGTGTGTGACTGCCTCCCTGCCTACGTGCATAAGAGAACTTGCTTTCTGTTCTCATGTACTTTAAGCACACAGATAAGAGCTTTTTAAGAATTAACTAAGCAGCCATTAGCTACACTAAATTTTGAATATTTTCTCAGCTAAGAATTGTCAGTTACCAGTTCTTGTCCTTCTAGACTGATTTGATGGTGCACAGACACTGATTTGTCAGTGTCAGGAAAACAGGAAAAAACATTTTGCCTGGATTTCTTAGGGGGTGGTTGCAGCTGCTATCAGCAATGTACTGATTAACCTGTAGTAACCTGCACTGCTGACAGTCCCAGGTATACAAGCAGCATATTAAGGTTATTAGCCAAACTGTTTTCTAAATTACCTGAGTAGGGCTTTCAAGACAACTGATTCTATTTTTTGGACTTTTTAAAGAGTTAACTGTTTAAAACAGCATTGAAATAATCTGGCCTCATTTCCTCAGCTGAAAAAGCAAGTCAGCTGAAACTCCTTTTTGCTGAAAGGGGGAAAAAAGGGAGGTCGTTTTTCTTCTAAAGAGCATGACCATACACATTCCACTCTAATGCTTTTAAAGGGGACTTCCCTGTTTCAGGAGCCCTGGAGCATTGAAATACCAACACCTCTTAATTGTTTAATATATTACAACTTAAAACATTTACAGAAGTGTTCTCCAAGAATTTCACTGTTCCATGTGCTTGGTCTTGCACCTCCTAAAATAATAGGCTATTTCCCCTTGGTTTTCTTGTGCTTGGTGCCACAGCAGGACGCATACTGTGCAGCAGGGGAAAGGGAAGTGGAAAGGAAGGCACAAATGGGGTTCTCTGACATCACGGCTCACGCGTGTGGCACACACAGGCATCTCTGTCTGGCATCATATGGCTGGAGGAAGGGGAAAATAGGATGTCTTGGACTTGGACATAAAATCTTCAAGGATAAAAATATCACAGACCCCTAACACTGTGCCCTCTGAGCAGCATCCCAGTGAGTGATAATTCTAGTACCCAGCAGAGCCAAGTTTACAGCATTGTATGATGCAGACATCTTACGGCCTTTCTGAGGCCGTGCCACAAACTGTGTGTAGTGTTACACAGAGGTGGTGTGATGGTGAAGTACTTCGCATGGAGAGAAAAAAGAAGTAATTCTGAAGAAAAATTATTTTGGTTCAGTGGAGGGAAAATATGATAAAACAATTGGCCTGGCCTGTGCTTAACTAATTTAATTTTCAGTTTGTCTAGCCAAATTGAATGCGATCTTTTTCTGTTCTTATGAAATCAGTCTCTTAACACTGAGCGCTTGGGGCTCTGCCCTGTGCTTCAGTGGGGATCTTCCCTGGCACAGAAGGGTCTGGGCTGGATCCAACCACAGCCATGTTGTCTTCTGCTGTGGGTCCCAGCTGCCACCCGCATGCCATGTGCGTGGGTCACCTGAATGTGCTGTGGTGTAACTGGGCAAAGGGCCTCGGGACAGTGAACACAGCTGTTTGTAGAGTCTCCCTTCTTCCTGAGTATCCTCTTCACTGTGCAAATACAAGCTTGCACAGATGGCTTTGGAAGAGTCGGGGTTTCAGGCCCTTCCCCAATGGCTCCCTGCAAAGCTTCCAGCCAGAAGCTGGTGGGAGGGTGGCAGTGGCTGCCCCAGGGAGCACTTGGTGCAGAACTGAATGCTTCAGTGGCAGCAGAGGAGCGAGCCACACAGTGAGTAGCTCCAACTCCACGCTTCCCAGCCAAGCTGCCTGCCATCCCTTTGAACCCAAGGTTCCATGTGACAGGGCAGTGATCTGGCTGCTGAGCCACTAGACTAATATTGTTCTTTTAATCTTGCAAAAATGTGTTATAAAAGAGTTTGATTCACATGAGAAATTAAGTATAAGATCTGTCCTCATAAAGACATTATACCATGAATGCTCTCTTTCTGCTGGCTGCAAGAATAGGTGGCTCAGGGGTGAAAGGCTAGCATTTACATTTAAATACACCTATTGGAATCGCACAAACAGAAGGCTGAAACTACTGCACTCTCTCTGAATGCTTTTAGGGTTGCTGCTTTTTCATACTGCAGCATCTTTTCTTTCTCTCTCTCTCTTTCTTTCTTTTTCTTTGTTTCTTTCTTTTATTTTAAATAATAAAAAAAAATGGGAAACGGGAACCTAAAAGCCCTTAAAATAAAACAAAGGTCTTATGCCAGCAGGATAAATGGACGAGCCTTTTCAAACTAATTATTTTACTTTCATCTGGATGTGCCCCTAGAGAGGTGACATGCAGATATGAACGGCCTCCTTCTCTGCTGTTACACTAACTGGTGCTGCTGGCTGGGTGTGATGCTGTTTACATTTCTCAGAGAAAGTGAACAACACTTTTTTTATGCCTGCCAAACCCAGATTTCCCCCCTGATAAAACAGAAAGCTCCTTACCACCTGGAGAAAACAGAAACTGAAACACTGCGGAAAGAGCACTTGGTGCCAGGGTGGCCTGGCAGCAAGGGTGAAAGCTCAGCAAAACCCTTGAAATGCACTCACTTAACCTGGGCCAGGGCTTTTTCTCTGGCAACTTCCTCTCCTCTGTGCAGTGACAGATGCTTATAGGCTGCAGTTACAAAAATTCAGGTATTACCTTTGCTTTTTCATACAACTCTTTGGTGAATGTATACGTATAAGCTATATATTTTCTTTGACATTTTTTAATATTTTAGATGTCTCTTTTGTACTTTTCCAGCCAAGCCAGGGGCAAAAACAAACAGTATGAATAAATGCCTCAAAATTACAGTGTAGCTGGAATTCAGAAATCAGGAGCTGTGTTCTGACTGACTTTTGCACACAATCCCACATTAACACATAACATAAAGCTAATAACACTAATCATTAAATATGTTCCAGATGCCTCTCAGCAGTGAATAACTTAAAATCCAGATCTGGATGTGGCAGCTTCTTAATCTCTAGTTAACATTCTTTTCCTTTGGATAAATATGTAAATCTGCTATCTTTCTATATAACCTTGTGTTGTGATGAATTCTAGTGTATTTTTTATGAAAGTAATGAAATGATACCAAATGCAGGAACTCTTCCAAGCTGAGTGAATGATCAGATCTCCAGAATGCATGCAAAGAAAGAAAAAGGAAAGGACTCTCTATGTCTAGTAGCCATTTATAGCTCTTTTTAAATAACGTATCTAATTGTATTTTGTGTTTTTGTAGAGTGTGACCTTTATAATGCTGTGTAGCTGTAAGAGAGGAAATCACATTCTAGTCTTCCTAGTTCTAGCACGCCTCACTCTTCCTACTATTATCTTCCTAGTCTTTATGGGACATAATAAAAGTTTGAAGAATATTGTCTCTTTTTATTTTGGTCATAATTTTATGCCAAATACTCATCACTCTTTCCAAACTGAAGAATTTGTTGTGACCTAAACTCTTCATGAAGAGAAGCTCTCTGTGCATTGGATAACCCCCATGGAGCTTTCCTTTTTCTCTACGCCCTTTTAGAAGTGAGCAGATCAGAGGTGTATATCCTGTCTGCTGTCTGACTGCTACTGAGCATTAACGTGGAGTTTAAGGGTCTCTTGTAAAGAGAGGTTATTCTTCTGACCCATGGATACATAGGGCTGCTTTACCTGAATTCAGACTATTTTATACCCTCCGTGGAGTACTTTAGATAACACTTTGCACACCTATGTGTTTTAAATCTTACAGTGCAATGGTGGTGCCTCAGTGCTCCTGAGGGATAAGTCCCTTTCAACCAGCCAACACTGAATATTAAACACCTCAGCCCACTCAGAATTCAAGTAGCAATTATCTTCTGAACAATAAAACACTAATTAAAGCCCATGTTTAAAACATGGATGGTATGGTAGATGTTCTGAGGTTCCGGTTTCTGGCCCCAGTTTCCTGTTTTCATGATAGTAGTCAGGTAATTCCTGAGAGCAAGGACCAGAATTCTACAGCTATCTCCTACCACTATCTGATAGATAAGTTATTTCTCTTGTTTTCCTGGGGGATTCTTAAGTGTTTCTGGGGAAATGTCTTGGGAACTTGCAGGTCAAAGAAGGAAGCCTGTAGTTGCTTTTCAGTACTCTTATCGTTAGATTGTGTAGGCAGACAATGGTCTAAGTTGCTGTTTGAGGTTAGAATCAGACACCTCCACTCCAATTTAGGCAGTGTTGTTGGAGATGGGTAAAGAAGTTTATGCTAAAAGTATAGTATCCTTAAGTTATATCAAGCATAGCTTTACTGCAATCAAATACTCATTTCATAGCTTGAGGCTCTCATTTCACACTCTGAGTGAATAAAATACAGCCTGACCCAACAAAGTCTGTGAGAGGAGTGCAAACTCCACTTAGAAGTTAACAACCTGATTTCTCTCTCATACCAGTTTTACGGTCACTTAGCTCCATTGACTTTGGTGGAATGAGTCCTGATTTACAACGTTGCTTCAGAGCAGGTTTAAAGCTGTGTTACACAATAGCAATGCTGGTGCCAGGTCTTTGGGAGCAAACCTTGTTTGCACTGCGCATGCCACAATACTATCGGGTCTGAGACCCTAAAGGTCTCAAATTTAGGTCTCTCATTTGATACCCGTATGATTTAATATCAGTTATGATTTGGATTTTTTTTTTTTCAGTGACATCATTTATCAAGGTCCTCTCGGGGATTTGAAATTAATGCGGAGGCTAAAAGTTCCCAGACTTCATATTGGTATGTATTTTTTATGGAACATTCTTAACTTAAAATGCAGTCAGATGTAAAAGCTAAACAAATAAATAACAACAACAACAAAAACAACAACAACAAAAAAACAGTTATTTAAGAAACTACTTGGAAATTAGCTTACCTCCAATCACCTCTCATAAGTGTGATTTCAAATTTGCACACAATAGACTACTATTTCTTCAGACAGTTTCCTCAGTTCACAGTGTCTGATGTGATGTCCCATTGCAGGCCTCTTCCTCACTCACCTTGGCATCCTACATGTAGAGCTGATGGTGTAAATGGTCTGAGTGAATACACCTAACTTAGGAACAAGGATCCGTGTTCTTAGCTTGACTCATGTTGGCACAAAATATTTTTTCTATAGGAAAGCTAAGCACGCCAAACAGGATGGACTTGCAATCCACTTCACAACAATGCCTACTGGAGCTCCTCTTTAGGAACTTCAGCCATCTGCGTTGAAGATACGGAAAAACTGGTGTTGTGCGCATATGTGCTTTTGTAGCCCCTCTGGTGTAACTTTTAAATTGCTACAGTACACCTTTCACAATTCTTAGGATCTGGTCTGCCACTGGGCAGCTGTAGGAGGACCTTATCTTCTTCACAAGCCAATACTTTTGTCTTCTTACTCAGCGCAATGGTGGTGTTCTTTGGAGAAGAGATCAGCTACCCTGCTTCCAGCCTTTTCCCCATAGCATGATCTGAAGTGGGACAGAAGCATCAGAAGTACAGTGCAGAGATAAAAAGAGTAATTTGTTTCCTGGGAGATGTCACTGTTGTCATGAGAGACATGAGATGTCATCCTTCTAGAACAGGTAGGCCAGCTCATCCAAAATTCAAGTTCATATTGTGATAATTTGATATTGTGTTAGGAATATTCCTAGTAGGGATAATGTGTTTTATGGCATTACATTAAGGGTAACTGTAAGCAAAAACATACACTCCCCCACTTAACCCTGCCAAAAGAAAACTCCACTATGGTTATTTATCTGATGCATCTTGGAGGCTTCAAGGCCTTTGTAGACATCAGGGTTAATGTAAGACAGGCTTTGCTGAAGGAACCAGGTGGCTGCAGTGCCACCTCTCTACTGCTTTCTTTTTCCCCCAAAATGCTGACTTCAAAATGTTTCTTATGTGCCTGGCTGCTGGAAGAGAGCCTCATAGTTGTGGTCTGTTAGTTCAACATTTACTGTGCTGCCCAAATGTGAAAGCAAGCACGGAGGGTAGGTTCTCCCTGACTTCTGTGGGATCTGGAGCAAATCCATGAGGAATGCTACTGTTTTCAACACTTTTTGCTATGCCTGAGAACAGGCACACAGATATGAATGTTGTTGCAGCTGCCACATACTACATGTAAGCCACATGTTGATCATTATTCCTTTAAATGAGAAGGTCTTTGTTTAAAATGATTGTTTTCTTCTATTCAGAACCTACCTAATTTTTTATATGATATTCAAAGGTTTGTGTTTTTAATGTTAATTTACACATCACAGTTTGTATTTAGAAAAAAGACTACCCATATATATATTTATTTACTTCCTAGACAGGTTTATAGTTATGGGGACCTAGCCCTTAACTAGTTGAAACAAATTGGACTATTCATTCTTCAATTGTTTGTATCATTTTACGTTGTGGTTTGTTTATTAATCTTAGCTCTGCTTCAGTCCCCTTCCCAAACAACAGTACTCTTCTTTAAAATATAATGAACTGTCTTGCATTTATGAGAACCGCATGGTCAAATGATATTAATCCTGCCACCCTGCTGAATGCTATGTCACGGTGCCAATATTTGGACTGAGAATTGATTGCTGGCTTTGGTAATACTGGAAAGGAAAGAAAGATCTGGGCACACCAACTACATCTAAACTATGAAATAAAATTCTCAGAGCTTTTTCCTGGAAACTAACAGGAATGAAAGAGCTTGCATTAACACAGCTGAACTCCTTTTACACTCCAAATCACAGCATCCACATCCAAAATCTCTACTGGAGATGGTCTCTGATACCAGCTAATATCCAAACTGTGCTTTGGCATTGCCTGGAAGAATGCTAGCTAGCTTGAACTAAAATTATGCCAGGGTTCAATTTAGTAGTAGGCACAAAGCCATCCATGGTGGTCCATCCGTGCCTTGGTGGTCTTGTTAAGTTTACTAGTGTCAGAATGAAACCTCAGTCACACTGGCAAGAGTCTACAGAAAACCTTTATTGGCCTCAATGATCAGAAGATACTGAGAGGAATAATTATTAGGTTGTTCACTTCCTTCATATTTGTGTTCTTTTTTTTCCTCATTCTGGCTATTACCAAAATAATACTGCAATGAACATTTTTTTTTTCAGTCTTATAGAGTAATGAAATTGGGTTGTTGCCTGACCAAAATTTGCTGTTAGTTTTGACTGATCCTCTGGGTTAAGAAACAGGCAGAGGTTCTGGAAAAGCCAGCTTCAGCTTTATTTCCTGGCAGACAATCTCCAGTGTCTTTGAGCAAGGAGCTTAGGTCATCTGTGATTCCTCAACTCATTTGGATAAAGAGTTAAAAGCTGCAAGGTGTCTCAACACAAACACACCAGGTGCATAAACAGACTAAACTGATGTGAACATAAAACTCCCTTTGATTTCTGTGGCTTTTTTTTTTTTTTTTTTTTTTTCCTCACAAATCTGGGAAGGAAATTTGTTTTAAACTCTATGAAATGGACATGAGTGCATTCACCCTCTAATCAGGATACATTCAGTGTAGCTCAGAGGGAGAGTGTGTATAAGCCTAAAGTATTCTACAGGGATGGCTGTGCTAATCTGGGGAGTGCCCGCTCTGTTTCTAGAGCTAACTCTCTGCACCTGATACCTCAGTTAACCCATATAAAACTATCCTTCACTATGCTGTACTTCTGCATCCAGCAGTATGAGTAGGAACCAGGTAATTTGTGCTATTATCTTCTTTTCTATTTTAAAAATAAATGGTAGTGGAGATCAAGTTGATTTTAAAAGCTCAAAATATAAAATGATTACGTTAAGTCACATAGTATTAAGAAATGACCCGCATGTATTGAATTAAACCATGATTTTCCAGTGATCTCAGCAGCAGCAGAATGGAGATGTTTTAATCATTGTATTATCAATTTGTGAGTTAGGTAACTACTATGCCAAATTTCTGCTCTAAATGAAAAACAGTATTGTTTTATCCAGAAGGTTTCTGGTTTCTAGCACTAGCCTTTACTTTTCTTGAGGCTCAGACATATGATTGAATTACTGAAGCTGACAAGTACTGATTTCAGAAATTTGGGTTTTCTACAGGGTATGAGTATGTTGTCAATTAATTCAATCGTTTGGTGTGTAACGCCATGCTGAACCATGAGAACTTGATTGTGGGCTTTCACTCAATATTCCTTTTAGGTTAAAAAGCCTGTTTCTTAATTGACCTATTCACGGATCAGTCTCATAAAAGAGGCTATGGAGCTCAACATACACGTGTGTGAATCCTATTTAAGGAAAGTGTTATGAAGAAATAATAAAACTAATTAACATACAAATTTATATATATATATATATATGTGCATATATATATATGTGTGTGTGTATAATTATTTTTATTATTTTCTGACCTGGACTTTTAGAACAGGTTACCAGGAAAGGTGGTGGATGCCCCCTCTTTGGGGACGCTCAAGGCCAGTCTGGACAGTGCTCTGAGCAATCAGATGTAGCTGTAGGTGTCCCTGTTTAGTGAAGGGGAGTTGGACTAGATGACTTTTAAGCATCCTTCCCTACTCAAATGATTCTGTGATTCTGTGAATTGGAATGCACTTCAGCAAAGTAGAAGAGGACCACTTGATTTCCTTCCTTTGGTTCCCTGTTCCTGCTTCGTTGCCCCTAATTCTAGAGCACTCTTCTGTGGTTGCTTGCATATGGCAGTGACTCTGTTCAGACCTACAGAGACTATTGCATCAGCTAAGGCTTGCAAGGCCAGTATGTGTTTATTTATGCAGCATGATCTTGAGAGGAACCAAGAGGACTTGAATGTCCTTCACGCTGATATCGGTGGTGTAGAAAGTGCTCAGTGCATTCCAGGGCAAAGCCTCAGAGGCTATGGATTAGAGAGCTGCTAACTCCTTTATAAGTATGTGCAGATTCCTTTGGTCTTCTCTGGGGGTGAGTCTGGGCCTCAGCTCTAAAACAACAAAATCAACACTAGTTGTAGTGGCCCAAATAACAACAAAAGAATTTCAACCCAGACACCTTCCAGCGTGGGAATGCTTAGGGATTAGGCAGAGACTCAAGGCGTGAACCAGGGCTGAGATCTCCCTCCCTTTCTGTGGGCAGAGTTGCAGGCAGTGCCCAGCCCTATCAGCACCTTATGGCTGTGCAGATAGGGCTGGTGCCCCTTATGCAGTGTCCAGCACAAACTGGCACTTGTTCACAATGCACAGGTGCTGAGCAATGCTATGCAGCCATCACCCCTGGCTCTGTCTCAGGCTCTTTCTGACCCTCGCTGTGTATTTTAAAGCTGGATCCTTTCAGTTTATATTCTCCCTCTAACAAATCTTTTTTTTTCTTTTTTTTTTTTCCCCTCTCTACTTCCACTTCTGAACCTGCTTTGCCAAACTCCCCATTCCACTATCTATCTACCCCATATGTTTATATTTTCCTACTGCTGAGGCATGTTGTGCTGACCTGCTTGGACAGGGCTCCTTTATCACAGAGATAAACACTATGTCCCCCTCACATAGAGCTTCTATCATGTGTGACCTTTCATCTTAAACTGCCATGACCTTTTTTTTTTTTTTTTTTTTTTAATTAATGCTCTACTGTGCTGCTTGCAGAAGCCAGGAAAGAAAATCTTTTGTTTCTAGATAGAATACTGCTAAAGGACATGATACGGTCTTGTTTTTAATCCAGCTAATTAAAATCTGCATGTGCAGTGTAACTGAGAACACACAGCCTTCGCCCACCACTTTCCCACAGGCAGGGAATAAAGGCCTTTAGTGCAGCAGCAGCTAGCCACCCTTGGATAACAGAGAACAGAGCCCACAATTCATCCCAGCTTTCCTTATCATATCCGTGGAGGGCTTTCCCCTCCCTCCCCCTCTCTCCTCATGGAATCACTTACTGTAGCTATGTGCCTCTATACATCACTGCAGAGGGTAATCAAGTTAAAAATATGCTTGCTCTCATTTATCTATGCACCAGAGAGCTCTGAATATAATTCACTTCCAGTAAGAAAATGGAGAAAGAGAAGAAAAAAAGAACAACAACAAAAAAAGAAAAGGGGAAAAAAAAGCATATTTCTAATCAGAGGTCAAACCTGTTTATGTTAAAACTGTTTTGCCAAGAACTAACTGAATAACACAGTTTAGCATTTCACACTTTTCTATGGTCATTATGTTGGGTTTTTAGGATTTGCTGGATGGCTGTGGTTATTACTAAGGCATGGTTATCACTAAGGCTGGCTTTTGTGTGTGCGCTAGGGAGAGGGTGCCATGGAATGTTTTTTTGTGAGGCATTTCCCTGGTTAGTTTTTCACTTGTTGCTTTTTGTTGAGTAACTGAAGTAGGGGAGGGAAGGGGGAGAAGAAGGGCAGCCGGGTGGGAAGAAACAGTATGGCCAGAATGGAAAACTGAGCCTCCACCTGTTTTCTCTTTCTCCAAGTCATGCTTTATATGAAGATGAGGTCAACAGGGAGCAAAAAAATGTGCCAGGAGATTCAAAAGTTGGAAGGAGATTGTACAACATTAGCAGAAAAAGCATTTGAATGACTGTAGAGAAGCCCTCCCTTCTCCCATAAAGCACAAACAGGCTTTCTGCAGGCATCCCTTGGTAACACTCA